CCCCAGGAATTGTTCACCAAGTCTTAGATTGGAAACCTTTTTGAAGAATGGTAGTTTTTAGAAAGCTTCTCCAGCATAGAAACTCATCTGTCCAGTCCTCCCAATAAGCACCATTTTGTCCAACGTCACACGTCACACCCATAATTTCATACCTTGCTCTCAAGTTTTATCACGGTTTTACATTACTGGCGTTTGAGATATTCTTGAACTCTCTAATCGTTATATATCGTTATTTTATCTCGGTTAAATTACTTTTCACTAACCTTTATTTAGGGTGGAGGGTGGTGTCAAAATAAGACAGCTGTAAACCTTCCAATAATCACCATTTTGTCAAACGTTAAAACACATAGTTTCATACCGTGCTCTCATGTTTTATCACGGTTTTACATTACATGCGTTTGAGATATTTTTGACCTCTTCTACTGTTATTTCATCTCAGTCGAATGAATTTTCAATCATCTTTATTTAGGGGGAAGGATGGTGACAAAATAAGAGGGCTGTAAACATCCTAGTAAGCACCATTTCGCCGAACTTTAAACACATACTTTTATACTTTGCTCTAATGTTTTCCAACAGTTCTACATAACAGGCCACTGGGATATTTTTGAATTCTCCTACATTTATTTCACCTCAGTTGAATGCCTTTTCAGTTACATAAATTTAGTGGGAACGATTGTGTCAAAATAAGATGACAGAAAGCCGAAGTTATTTGGATAAAATAGTGTTAATCGCAATATAGCCTGATTTGATAAGCTGCTAGCCACGGAGCCTTTAAAAAGGCGAGTTGTTGTTTTTTCTGAAGTTCATCATACTTTTACGATTAATAAATGACTGAAGCAGCCATTTCTGTAACATAAAATAGTCCGGCCAGTGATGGATCTGGCCTTAAGGAATATTTTCCACAGCCTTAAATTACAATCCTATGATAATATGTGGATACGTTTATTTCAAAGAGAGACGACAGAGTGTATTATTAAGCTGCTTTTCGAAACTAGATAATTTCAGGGTTATGGGAATTGATCATGAAGGGTATGTGGCGTCGGTGGCCTAGTGGTTAGGCTACCGACTCGTAAGCGTGGGGTTGCGGGTTCTGGGGTTCGAGCCGCAGGCCCGACGTTGTGTCCTTGGGAAAGGCACTTTACACGAATTTTCCTCACTTCACCTAGGTGAGAATGGGTACCCAGCCATAGACAGCGAAAGATCTTGTCAGTATGTTAGTGTTTTAGCGCCTATAAATGGCGGCTGGCACTGTATGCTTCCCAGGAAGTTGAGTTTGTTTCAGAATGCTCTCGGGTCTTCTGGAGTACTAGTATAGATAGTGAAGCGCATAGAGCTTGCTGTTGAGCGTGGATTTGCGCTATACAAAATGTATCTATTATCTATTATTATTATTATATATTTATTTGGAACAGGTCTGCATAACTTAAAAGCAAACAAAAGATCACCTCACACAGTGACAGGGGACTGTACACAATCATGCTGACGTCATGGACAAACGAACACGCCCAGCACAAACCATGACGTCATGCATTGTTGTCGAACGTTGCGACATGACATGGTGGTGGCGAAAAAACGACAACACATTTACACGACATGCCTCAAGGAAAAAACGACAAACTGAAACAAGACAACAACAACAACACGTCATCAGAAATGACGTATGTCGTGTTACAACAACAACAACAGCACGACGTCATCAGAAATGACGCGTGCGTTGTCTGTGACGTAGACAGACCTTGAGTACACGTCAACGACACCACACGCCACCCGGTCGCAACCACGGGAGGGAACTTTCCCGCCGAGCGCTATCCAGGCCAGGTACTCGGCTGTCCTCACGTCTGCTGACTGGCGCTTGCTCCGGGAACTTGCCAGGACAAGGGCAGATACATTTAATTTGAGTTGCATGAATGTTAGGTTGCATATTTTTCTCTTTTAGAATGTATTTTTTAAAAATACTTTTTTCGTCCACATGTCTTTTTTTCTCTTAAAGGTGCAAAACTGTCGTAAATATTGCAAATTAGTCAAAAAGCGCTACGCAATGTTAGACCAACTGGGAATTTTCTGTCTCATGTACAAGTGTTTTATAAAAAACACGAGGTATAAAACAATTTATGCTGCCTCGAACAGCAACAACAAACAAACAAACAAACAAACAAACAAACAAACAAACAAACAAACAAACAAATCAGAAAAAATAAGGAGTCATGTAGAAAACCAGGGAGGTCGGGTTCGACTCTGCCTGTCAATCAGGACTGGACCGGGATGAGAGGGATGCAACGCCCCAAACAGAAAGACAAAGATACTTGATAAAAATTCTCCTCATACGCGACGCAAACTCGGACCATCTGCTTACGACGGCAAAGTACCTAAATGCTACACCACAGACACCGGGTTTAGATGCACGAGAATATCATGTTTGGGGGCTCTCGTGGCCTAGAGGTTAAGGTGTTGGCCTCTCGTTCAAAGGTCCCGGGTTCGAATCCGGGTAGCGACCGAAAAAAAATATTCTCCATTGGTCTAAAATCGATAAGAGTAGGCTTCGGACGCCACCCGGGCAAAATTCAAAATTACCTACCAACTGAAAAAGTTTAGTGTGTCCTGTGAGCTTATATGACCTTATGCAGTTGCGAGCGCCGTAAAACACTTACTAAGAAAAAATGTTTATTGTTACTCTGAAGTTGTTGTACATCTTAAAGATTGTTTCATTGATTTATTTTATCCAGATCTATTCGTTTAATAAAACTATTTCATCCTTTTTCGTTTCTACTTTCTTAAAAGTTAAATCTTTTTAAATGCCTTAAAGCTTTTCTTCTTCTCTTTTCGGAGGTAGGTTGGGAAGGACAAACCACGTAAAGGAATCCGTATTGTAAGTATACGCTGTCCTCCTACTTAAGCGCTTACCTGTTCCATAAAACAGTTTGTTCTTGAAAACATTCATAACTTGTTTTACACATCCATCGATACAATTTAGATCTTTTAACCCTATCCTTGCGCCCTTGGATCATTTTGTATCCCCGGAGTTGTATTCTTCACATTTAGTGTACTTCTAGTACGAAGATCTCTTTGAAACTTTCAGTATTTCTCAAAAAATCGTTTTGACAGACTGCTATGCAAATGGTACGGATCGAATTGACGAGTAAATTTCCACTTTGGAAAGTGATGGCACAGAGTTCCCTACGTCGTATGGATACGATAGTAAAACACGACGTACGGATAGGGTTAAGGACATAGTGGATTTGTTTTTTTACTTTCACTGGCAGAATTAACCGGGCTCAGAGGGGTGTCAAACAATGCTCCAGCAGACACATAGATTTAGAACTATTTGAATAAAAGAAAATGCCCTTCCGAATTGGGAATCGAACTCACGTTTTCGGCATGGGACTTAAATAACATTAATCGCTACACCACAACAGACAGATGAACAGACAGACATATCGACTTTTCACTCATCGTAAGGTCCCGTCATACGTCATTATTCAAAATGGCATAATATGGCGCAGTCTAACACCAAGCAGTCGACAAGATAAGATAAGATAAAATAAGAAAAGATAATACTCTATTGTCCGACAGGGACGATATGCACAAATTAAACAACTTAATTAAACAACTTTGAAAAGACAATGCTACATAATGAGTGCGAATCCGTCTCTGCCGCTGCTCTGCAGAAAAAACACAATATTGTGAAAGTCACAAGGATAAGACAGTTAGTAAAGGTACGTTATACAATACAATGACATGTAAAATATGAGAAAAAGGATAAACAGAACGTGTCTAAACAATCAACAGACACGAGTTAGGATCCTGGAATCTGTCATGCTCGAAATCACATGAATAATTACATAACTCAATAATGCATTGTTGATTGTAATGATTGTGAGTGTGTGTATTACGTCCACGTCGAGACAAATTAGATCATATTATAGGAGGCGGGCTGCTCCTATCCTTGTCTTAGCCTTCTCGGACAAGGGTGAAAAATCTCAGAGGGCCTGTGTGCAAGTTGCGCACGTTAAAGATCCCTTTGTTGGCCTCTCATTCAAAGGTCCTGGGTTCGAATCCGGGTAGCGACCGAAAAAAATTCTTCTCCATTGGTCTAAAATCGATAAGAGTAGGCTCCGGCCGCCACCAGGGCAAAATTCAAAATTTCCTACCAACTGAAAATGTTTGGCGTGTCCCGCGTGGTGCGAGCGCCGTAAAACACTTACCAAAAGAAATACTCCGGTCTGTTAGGTTCAACCCGAACTGTGTGTGATACAGCATATCTCAGGCCATCCAAGAGATATTTGATAAATTTACTTCCCTCAAAGGGAATCGAACTCGTGTCTTCTGAGTGCAACGGTGAAGCGCTTATTAACAAATAGGTACACCACAGATGCCCGCACTATAGACCTTTTCTTCACGACATTGGGTGGTCGTCTCAGGTAGGTTCGACTGTGCATGAAATATGTGTAGCATTGTGGTGAAATCAGGCGCTCATCCAAAAATAATAAAATTTAAGAAACGACATTGTTCCGACCAATGGGCAAATTTATTGCATTTTAAAAAAATCTATTTATTTATTTT